ATAACACAAGAAGGTTGCAGGTCACACATAAATATATATATATATATACTGGTTGGTGGTTTCACACATTTTTTATTTTCCATAATAATTAATATATGAGATAATCCTTCTCATTGACTAATATTTTTCAAGATGGTTATTGCACCACCAACCAGTATACATATACACATACATAGAATACAACAATTTCATTGAATTTTGGGTTCCAACAGTCGGTTCCAGAAAATTCCAATCTCCTCCGGGGATTGCATGGGATACCTGCGCGAGTTCTGCCTCCAATTAACGATCTAAAGCCATCCCCAACTCCAGAGGCTTCACCCATATCACATATCATATCATATTAGATCATAATTTCACAGATTGCTACTAGATCATCTATGATATATTCTGATATACCATAGAGGCTTGATACTATATTGGATATAATCTATATGTATATTCTGTAAACACATGGTATATCTAGTAGCAACCCTTGGTATATCCATAGAGGCTTCACCCAATGCAGATCCTCTTCCTTCGTGCGCAGATCTCACGGGGGACAATCTCTTCCCGCAGTTCGACCTGGCGGAGATGCTCTTTGGCAACGCCTACGCCTTCCCAGGCGCTGTCTGTTGAGCCGGTGAGACATAGAATTCGGAGGATTTTTCTTGGGTACCCTCTGGTAAACTAACGTAGCTATAGAAAATCACCATTTTTAATGGGAAAATCCACTATAAATGGTCATTTTCAATAGCTATGTTAAATTACCGGAGGGTAAACGTTAGTCATTTTTGTGTACAAAGTGATGTAAACTAATGTAAACCATGTTAGTGTAAACTAAAGTTAAACTTAAGCATATTCGTATATAGTTGTATTATCCAAATATTGGATTTCTCAGTGATGGCTATTTATAGTAGGAATGGCTGGAGTAATATTGTGTAATACTTGGACATTATTCACAAAATATAGGAATATTATTAATCTTCACACTGGCTGGAATAATTCATCATCTTTTTATAATAGTGCAGTTTTAATAGTATTAACTATATCAGAAGTGTCATTCATTCGTGATATTAACGTTTAGTAATCTTAAGATGTACTTCGATGTATGTGCCATTGTAAGTATGCCAAGGTTGTTTTTTTCATGTATGTAAGTCATCCAGGTAAGCATGAACACTTAATATGTGTGGCTGCGTTCTCGCCAAGGCAACATCTCCACTTTTTCCAGCGAAAAAAACTATATATCCCACCAGGTCTTTTGAGCTCAGAGACAGAGAGACCTGCCATGTGTCGGAAGCCTGTTTACACACCTTCTTTTCAGAATTTCTCCCACATCCCAGATGCTCCATGTATGGAATATTTATCTACAAAACTGATTTTGGGTAGGTGTGCAAATTCCAGCACCATGGTTCGCATATGGGTATTCATCCCAGTTGCTGGCAAACTCCCTCAGCTTTACCAGAGGACTGGGCCCTAAAATCTAATTTGTTGGTTTAGTTTCACGAGTTTCCAACCACATCCAACAGGAGATATATCTGGCATAAATCCAACTTATTCCAACTTACCTATCATAATCCAACCATAAATTCCGAGTTTTCTTGGTTAAATCTCAATGTTTGGTGTACAAATGTACAAACAACTATCTATCTTGGGCCCTTTCCCTGCAGGTGGAAACCACATGATAAACCTACAGTGGTGGCCTAGCACTTAGAATATGATCAAAAAGATGTTACGTTTTAAAGTATTCTAAGTGGTGCTACTAATTTCCACTTAGAATATAGCCATATTCTAAGTGTCCTCTTAACTGTTGCACTTAGAATATAGAAGCTTTGCACTTAGAATATGATTTTATGATATTTTATGTTTCAAGAGATTCTATATAATAGTCTTTAAAATATGTTGTCGCTGTACGTTGTTTGTTGCCACATTGATAATGTGTGGTGGCATTGTACAGGACAGTACAGTAGACAACAGAGTGCACCAAGCAATGTCGTCGCTGACCAGTTGCACCATCCACAACCTGACCATCGAACTGATAGTGGTCATGGTGAGCTGAAGCGTCTGACGGCAGCGACAGCTCAACAACGTCCAACAAGTGCACCAGTAGTGCACAGTAAAGTATACTGTACAGTACAATACAATAGTACCTACAATATAATACAGTACTGTACAGTAAAGAGTACTGTAATGTAATGTACAGTACATTACAGTATTGTACAACAGTACATTACAATAATGTACTGTACGTACAGTATAGTACTGTACACTTTGTCTTGTATAATAATAGTATAGTATTGTACAGTACACTACTCTAGAAAAACAAAAATTGGCACAATGTTCAATTGCAGCAGATCTTAAAGCTTAAAATTCGTTAAAACCTTGCACGGAGGATATGAATCAATACATGTACTGTATTGTACAATAATGTACAGTATAATTTTAATACTACTGTATACCGTACTATACTGTATAGTAGGTCTTGAAACTTAAACTACAGTAGTTGAAAAACTCGTTCATGTATCCAATGATCATAAACCTCCAACTAAACCCTCTGGTAAACTAACATAACGATGGGGAACCACCATTTTTAATTGGAACATCAACTATAAATGGCCGTTTTCAATAGCTATGTCAAATTACCAGAGACTATCACAAAGGCACACCATAAAAGGGGCAGGTTTAACCTTGCTTCCCATGATCAAAACGTGGAAAATTCAACGTTCGGTGGTGCTCTGCAAAAGGTGATTCAAAGTTATCACCCAACAGTTCATGAAGCTACCCTCTGGTAATTTGTTGCAGTTCGCTATTGAACCCATGGCCCAGTCGAAATAGTTGATTTTCCCATGAATAGCATGGTGGATCTTTCCAGTTCGTTATGTAAACGTTTACCAGGCCGGGTATATCCCATTAATATATATATATATAAATTTCCCATTGAATCACTATAAAATTCCATGAAAATTCATCATAAATCCCATTAAATCACCATAAAATCCCATTAAATCACCATAAAATCCCATGAAATCACTCTAAAATCATTAAACCACCATAACTTCCGCAGGGGTCACCACCTGGGCGACTCCCCGTGGTGACTCGCGTCCTTGCCGGCCAGGTTTGACCTTGGTGGCGGATGATCATCCCATGGCTCGGGCCTCAGTGCGGTTTCGGTTTCCTGCCGTGGGATTGGTCGGATTGGGATTTGCCTATCCCAAATGGTTTATGGGTGATGTATCATGATATATCTATAGTTAATTAATGGGGCTTATAAATCTATAAATCTATAAAAGAGTTCATAGTTAATGGTGGAAGATATTCCCATATGCTCCTTCTGGTGCTGGAATACCTGCATGTACCCCAACAAAATCACCCAGTTTTGTAGGTAAATATACCAGCGCCATGGTTCGCATATGGGCATAGCCCAGAACCATTTAATGAGTTAGCGAAGAAACCATCAAGAGGAGATAGCCCCAGCTGGCACTTACTATAAACCCGTTCGGGTGTGGATTAATCTCCACCATAAATCCGGGGGTTGCCCTACAAACGAACTTAGCTATCATCAATTCATATCAATTCCATTCCAATCATTTCAAATCCACATATGTTGTAAGTAGGGTATTGGTATCTGTAGTTTATTGTAGTTTGGTATTGCTTATCCCAATTACTTATCATATCTTATCATCAATTCCAATAATTGCGATATCTTGTTCTATAAAAAATAGATAAGTAAGTAATGATCTATGATAAGTAGTAATTGCGAGATCTATAATAGCTCTATATATATATATATCTAGTAGATAGATCTATAATGGTAGATCTATAATAGCTCTATATATATATCTATAACCAATGATCTATAATAGAACTATAGTAGATCATTGGTATCGGTAGATCTACTATAGATCTCGCCATGATTTTCGACTGCGGATCGTGACTACTGATCCGCCAGGATCAGCTGCTGAAAATGTCTGAGAAATTGCAGGAGATGGGGCAGTTCAATAGGGCACTGTTCCGTGTTTTTTTTTGACATATATATATACTATATATACAGCATATCTATACATATAATATATATATATATATATTTATATGTATATATATATATACATATTATATAATTATATATATACATTGTGAAGTCACGTGTTATTCTACTACTCAATATTTGTTATGTGATGAATTTAGTGGGATGTGGCGGGTTTCGGGAGATACAAAGTGAACTCCTGGATTTCACCAAACATGTTTGACACGGCTGGTCAAGGTGGTCCCAGTGGTCAGTTCTGGAGGAAATTTGTAGTTTAGTGCAACTTACAATATTTTGCTACAAACCGGCATTGAGATGCATTGAGTATATTAGCCTGAAATGCGTTCTCAGAAATAAATGGCAGGGTATCAAAGATTGGCCATGAAACAAAGGTGTTTGTCTCCCAGACAGAACATAAAACTCGAGAAGTTCTTTGCTGGTTTGTGCCTCCATCTTTCAAATAGCCATTGGGGGTAAACATACAAAAAGATGTGGAAAACCCATGGTCAAACCCAAGGAAAGTGATCTGCGAATTGCAGGTGTTCCAATCTATGTTGGTTTATAGTAGGGTAGCTATCATGATCTATAATATATATACAGGTTATTTTTTTATTTTTTTAATACTAGGGAATGTGTTTTGTCAGTAGCATTTACATAAATTATGAGGAATCTCAAGATAAGAATCATGACCAGCTAAGTCAGTTAAGCATTTTATAGATCAAAGTGATGTCTGATAAGAACGATACATGTCCATTAGATTGCATCCAATATTTCTAGATACACTATATCAGCCTTCCTCTTAAAATCCAAAAAATGTATCCCAAATGCTCCATGGTGCTGGAATATGCACACCAACATTTACCCGAACAAAATCACCCAGTTATGTAGGTCAATATACCAGCACTGTGGTTCGCATGTGGGTATGGTACTTTGACCCATGTGGGTATGGAACATGGTGGTTTTCCCATCCACCCCATCCACCCCATCCACCCCATCCACCATGTTCCACCGGTGTTCAGCGTCGAAGCAGGAGCAGTTCCCTCGAGCTTCAGACATCGAAGCTGACATCAAGAAGCAGGAAGAAACTGCTGTCAAGGCACGTGAACTCAAATGGCTTGATGGGAAGGCTTCGGTTGATTTGCCCATTGGAAGGTTACAACTTCTTGGATTCCGTTGCTTGGGAAATGTCACCATTTTCCATGCGGGGCCGTAGGCATGGCTCATCATGGCTCATTTTTCATGGTGGCACAAAACCCAGAGAATGTATGGCTATCCCATGCAGGCTATGGGATTCGGATGGATTGAGACCACTTGACTGCACGACCGACCCCTATAAATTACGAAATACACAAATCTATAATGATCTGCCCTCTGGTAAACTAACATAACTATAGAAAATAACAATGTTTCATGGGAAAATTCACTATAAATGGCGATTTTCCATATATGTTATGTTAAATTACCAGAGGGTACGTATTTGGAACCCTTGACCGATGGATTTTGATGGATTTTGTGTAGACTGTTCACAAATATCCAAATCATCCGTGGTGGTGCTCATAAGCTATTTATTTCTGGTTGGTGGTTTGGAACCATGGAATTTGATGACTTTCCATATATTGTGCATTTCATCATCCCAACTGGTCCGAAGTCCATGATTTTTCAGAGGGGTTTTGCTCAAAACCACCAAGCAGATTTGCATCAACTTATTCCGGTCATAATAATGATATGGCCATAACAATCCCTTTTTTTGGCAAAAAACACATGGTACAAGCCCTCCTAATGATAAGTCAGCTTAGCACTATCATTTTCCCGTATTTTTTCCCTATGAGAATGGGCCGTTGGGATTCATTTAGGGGTTGTACCATGTTTTTTGTTGGCCCATTTCCAGACACACCGTTCACTGCTTCACAGGAATAGGGCCCGTTCCATGCCAGTTATATGTCAGTCACCCTGATGGAATGATAAGCCCATTTATAAGCATAGAAAAACATCCGGTTTCTAGGGCTTTCCTGCAGGAAAAGAAATTTAAAGAAGATGACGAGCAACAAGAAGAAGCACCGCAGATGAAGCTGAAGTTCGCACCGGATCTGGTGATTCAGGCGCCAGTTTTCAAGGCTACAATTGGAATGATGGTGAATGGATATGATGATATGAATGGATTGGGGTAACCATCCCCATAATCAAAAAAGCCTTATTTAACAGGTGAATGTTGACAAATGGATTGGCGTAACTGGTAACTATCCCAACCATAACTGCCATAACTGCCATAAGTGTAACTATCCCAAGAATTGTTCCCCATATGTCGATGGATTTTTGGATCTGGTTGGTGCTGACTGGAACCATGGAATTTTCATCTAGAAATAATGGGATGATATACCAATAATGATGGTTAATGATGGTTAATGATGGTTAATAATCACTGGTTGGTAGTGACTCAAACTTAAGTTTATTTTCCATTTCATATGAATGGATGTCATCCACCAACCATTGACGAAGTCTTCATATTTTTCAAGATGGTGATTAAAAAACACCAACCAGATCTATTCACATCCAGATGTTCAACTTAGTCACTGGGGTGAAACCTGTTTTGTCAGGTGAATTTAGTTGCAGGATTCAGCACCTGGGATGTTTTAAACGGTGATCCGACTGGGGCCTTTGTCAAACCTGGACTGCAAACTTAAGGGTTGTAGCCATCACTGGATTATTTACCAACAAGTAGCCTAAGCAAAAAATATGGAAAAGTTACCCTCCGGTAAATTAACATAGACCCTGGCAGATAGGGGTTGGAAGACTGGTTTCCACTCAAAATGGCTTATTTCCAGGGTCTATGTTAATTTACCAGAGGGTAAGGGTTATAACCCAACAGCTATACCCATGGCAAAGAATCCAATCATGGCTTTTTGGGACATAGAAGTCCCTATTTTACCATCGGGCTATATACCCTGTAAACATGACCCAGTGATAAAATAGGGAATTGTATGGAATAAAATTAGAGAATCATTTGGCTATGATAAATAGGATCAATGCCATAAAATGATCCTCTATTTATGGATAAAATTTGCCAGAAACATGACCCATTGATAAATAGAGGATCATAATTTATGGCAAAATTCTATCAGTGAAAATCATCCAGTGATCCGTGATTCTTCCCATCATGATCCCCATGATTTTCCCTTCGACCAACTTACCCGGCCTGGTTATTTTTTTACAGTTTGCTATTGAAAATTGCCATAGAAATAGTTGATTTACCCATCAAAACTGGTGATGTTCCATAGTTACGTAAACGTTTACCAGAGGGTATTATGATGATTATTTATGATTGTTATGACTATTTGGTGAAAATTGTCAAAATCCCCGCACCCCAGTCATGCCAATAAATCTCGTCTCGTCCCGCCACCGCCAGTCGGAGCAGTTCTTGAAGCGTTGGTGCCCAAAGAGACCTGCCAACTGCCACACCATCCCGCGCGTGCTTCCAACCGTGTCGGGGCGCCTGACCTTAGTCTGGGCCGATTCGGTTGAAAATGCCATCGTTACGATCTTCAGCATGATTTGACTATAGTGATTAGTGATGTTTAATGATGGTGAATATAGGGAAATCATCTCCAAATGGCTTTAGAAAATACTGCTTGGTGGTTTGGAACCATGGAATTTGATGACTTTCCATATATTGGGAATGTCATCATCCCAACTGACGTCTTCATATTTTTCAGAGGGGTGGCGAAAAACCACCAACCAGGCATGTTTTTGATGTGAAACATGGTGAACATATGTGAAAACCATGTGACAAAAATAGTGGAGTCTTGGATCTTAGAGACACATGAGACACCATCGTTGGGCAAGTGACTACCAGGTATACGGGGCCGTGAGGTAAATCCATGGGTTTGTTTCACCAGGTTCATACGATGATCTCACAATTCAATCACAATATACCATCTGGTTCTTTAACATAGCCATGGAAAATCACCATTTTTAATAGGTAAACCATCTATAAATGGGCCATTTCCCATGGCTATGTTAAATAACCAGAGGGTAAATCACAAATCAGCTATATCCAAGTTCAGTTGGTTCAATCCACTTCTTTTCGGCACTTTTTTTTTTTTATCTTCCAGATCATGGTACCGAGCCATGTCCCTTTTTCGCGGCCGAAGCACCGGCGCGTAACGCCGGTGCCATGACGCAGGAACGAGTTCCGGGCCATCAAAAACCTCCCCGTGGACGAACGATGGCAGCTGCAACTCGCTTTGAAAAAGCGGAACTCGTTGCTACCGGGGCCAACAGGGGCTGTAAAGGGCCGTAAAGTGTTACCCTCTGGTTAACAGTTCGCCATGGTATAGATGACCCATAGAAATAGATGGTTTATCGTTTACCGTTCTTGAAAATGGTGATTTTCCATGGCTATGTTAAATAACCAGATGGTAACAGTATGGCGGAATAGTGGGAGAATACCACTCGAATGGTGATTGAAGTTGTTTTTTTTGTATTGTGATATATGATAAAGTCGTGGGCCTATAGCCAGGTATGGCCATTGGATGAAATAACTCTTGTAGCTAAGGTTATACACCATCAAATAAGCCAGTTATAACTGGCTTGAGGGCTATAACTGCAGAAGTCGGGATTTTAGTGGCTTTCTATGGGATATTCTATGAAGAAACAGGATCATCGTGGTGATTTGTTGCATATTTCATGGCTAACCAACTTGATCTGATAGTTGTTTGTCTTTGAAAATAGAGGATAACATGAAAAAGCAGAATTGGTGCCGTATTTCCAGACAAACCATAAATTAATAACTGATAATAATTGGACAAAACACAGAAGGGGAGACTTCGGAAATTTGGAAATGTATATAACAGCATGAACAACTGGAGAGCTTAGCGACAAATGCACGTTCCAAGAACAGGATTTAAGCCACTAAAACGGATATTGATTTATAAAGGAAAAGCTGCCACTCATTGTACGTTGCCAGGTTTCGTAATGTGACGGATCTTTCTACAATGAATAGCACATTAAAGTTTTTTGCCTATGTCCTATAGTTCCATTGATGAGGTCTCGATATGTCTCGATCCCATGAAACTCCTGAGGGACTCGGAGTTCTCTAAAGACTCTAAAGATATGTTTACTGGTTGGTGGTTTGGAACTTTTTTCCATATATTGGGCCTAACTTAATGGAATAATCATCCCAAGTGACGAACTCATATTTTTTAGAGGGGTGGCTTAACCACCAACCAGCTTAGGGCTAAAAAAATGCGTTCTGGAGTTGCGCCCATCGTCAAACATCCCAAACATTGTTGAAACTGGGATTGAATGGCTGATTTTTGAGTTGAAGCCTTCACAAAGGGGGCACCAAGACACCAAGAAACATGACTTTGATCTTTGATTATTGTACAGAAAAAGGGCCCAAAATACCAGTTAGTAAGTCATCCCAGATTTATGGTTCATGACAAGTTTATTCACAAGTCAGAAATCTTCATTGTGGATAATCCATGTATACATTAATGACCATCAATTGTTCATGACCTTATGGTTCATGTATATCCATAGAAATTACATTTGATTATTGTTAGTTTTTTTGGGATTCCAAGCCGCCTTCGCCAGAGGCTAGCCCTGGCGGGAGCGGGTTCCTTTGACCCCAAGCTCGACTCGGACAGGGGCCCCCCCAGCAGGTTGCAAGAATCAGGGCTTGGTAAATGTCTCTTTTTGATCCTTTTCGGAGGATTGTGAACATCATTGGTTGATCTTGTTGATCTGGTTGATCTGTGTATCTGCTGGAGATTATATATATATATATCCCCAACTGTTGATGTATATATATATATATAATTTATATAATTATATATTTAAACAAATATATAGGACATTGGACATTTTGTGTTTGTATAAACATAGTCTTTGAAAACAGTAGGGGAAATCAGTGCTACAGCATTCCCTTGCGGCCAGTGTTCCCGTAAAATTCCTTGCAGCACAGCGATCCGATCAAAAACACACCGCAGGACCCTTCGAACCCAGTCTACACCCAGTGGGTCCACGAGAGCATGACGCAGATCCCTGCCGGCAGAGACGGTGGTAGATCCCAATCCCAGTAGCATCCATGGGAACCAGGAAAGATGTGGGAATAGGTCAGAACCTCTTCTTTCCCATATATCTGGGGAAATTTTTGACATCCATATTCATATGAACCAGCTAAATTTATTCGGTTCCTAAAATTAAAATACCAGGGTTTTGATCCTTTCGACAGCATGCCCCAGCTGGGGATGTCCAGTAAATTAACAGTTGGACCCTGCCAGTCATCGGGGTTGGAAGATTAGGTTCCATTAAAAATTGTTTTTTTATTTCAGGGTCGATGTTAATTTAGATATTTTTGATATTTCATCAATCTCACCATTCGATATAGCAAAATGGGAAGCACAGCACGCACTGCGTGCGTGCCAAATCGGGTGACCAATCACTGCAGAGTTACTTTGGGGTTCACCCCACAGCATTCGGAAGGTCAATAGGTTGACCTAGGTTGACCTCATGATATCGACGATATGAATGACAATTCATTGCTTGAATCCCTATCTTTGATAAAGCCAGTCAATTAGCACATCTCTGTTGCCTAACGCCTCACTTGCATCCATGTTGTTTCTAGAATCTCCGCGCCCAAGAGAGACAAGGCCTGCAGGGTGTTGTTTTTTTTCTAGGTTTATTCACCTAACTAAATAAATTCCCCATGGTTTTCATTCCCCCATGGTTTTCATGGTCCCAGTCATGGTTTCATCCACAAAAATCCGCTGGGTAACTCTGCGGGCTGTGAAAAAATCTTCGCAGAAATGGTGGCTTTTTTTGTCATAGTACGTCATAGTTCTAATCACCAAAATCCCGGAAAAACAGTTGACCTAAAGTTGACCTAAAGTGAAATTGGGGCCAACTTATGGTCAGCTTGAAAAAACATGATGAACACATTACCCATGGCCAGGTTGCTCAAAACCTTCAATTTCCCTTGAGCTTGGTGAAAAAACCGGACACTTCCGTTGTAGCCGCGAGTCTCTCTTAACATCTCATGGTTTGCTGGTGGTTCACTAGCAAATTCCACCATAATTAAAGGTGGCTCCTTTTGTATATATATATATATTTATGAGACAACCTCCAGTAAGAATGTGGTGTTATAACCACTTAGTTGGACATGTTTATGGTGGAAAAAGGATGATATATAGGTATATATAGATCCCTGATTCCACCAAATCAGATCTACATCTGGATATAGGCTACGTTTTTTTTGTTTATTTTAAGGGGTACATGCTTATATACTCACATGTTTTGTTTTAAAAAAAAACATCATAACAGAAATTATTTTCCAAGTTTCCATGCATGGCAGTTTCAATTTTAGTTTTAAATTCACCATAGTTAATGTGGAAGTCTCATATTGAATGGGAATCCAGAGGGACATATCAGATATATATCAGATATCCCACATGAACCATGAACCATGAGTTATAAATCAGATACCCCACATCCCCACAAAATAAATACCTTTTTCATACAAGATAAACACCATTCTATAATCTGAATTCATGTCCAAAAACGCCACGTTTTCAGGGGTTGGTACGGTAGATGTCTTAATTTGTGACATCACCCAACAAAGAAGAGAATAGAAACACATGTTAGTGATGTTCAAAATCCCAAAAAAAGAACGCTTACGAACCTTTTTTTTATGGAAACATCATCATTTTCCAAAGGATTATCATCATGTTCTCTACTCAATGGTTACTTGCGATTATCCTCTGTTCGAAGACACACCCAAATCCACCTTTTTTCAGAAACCTGTAGATGTTTTTCGGAAACCCCTGAGAAATCCAACAAAATACACATTAAATCCCCCAAAAACCCTCTGATTATGACTAACAGTTTGCCATGGAAGCCATGGCCCTAATCGAAATAGATGGTGTTTACCGTTCTTAAAAAATGGGTGGATCTTTCCAGTTCGCTGGCCCTGTTCGTCAGATTCCCAGATGATCGAACCCCCCATATTTGAGAAAAATCAAAATCACCGGATCCCTTTTTTCAAATCCCTACCTGGTAACATCTATCACCATGGGATCAAAATTCTAATCACCAATCACAATAAAATTCAGATTCACCTGAATTGGTTCAAATCACCAGATTACATCTACTAGTATCATGTTGATCTCATGGAAAAATCGCAAATTCAAATTTCAGTAAATCACCATGAAATTTCAGTAAATCACCTGAAAGTCCCATAAACTACCATTAAATTTCCTTAAATCACCATAAAATAAGCGTCCCAAATGTTGATCTCAAAAAAACACCACCAATCATCACCATAAAAAAATTCCCTTTTTTTATCCCCTTGTTTATCCCCATGAAATCACCATGAAATCGGTAGATTTCCCCAGCTGTGGCCTTCGTGAAAAGGAATAAGTTGGCCTGCGTCACGGCGGGAAAGGAGTTCACCTGGGGCGCCAACGTGCCGGCCTCCACCGTGGTGGTTCCTGGGCGTTTCGACATAGCTGCTATGGGCGCGCGGGAAAACCCTCGGAAAACCATGGGAAAAGCTGGGAAAACCATGGGAAAAGCTGGGAAAACCATGGGAAAACTGTGGGAAAACTGTGGTTTTTCGTTTTTTTTTCCTGGATTTTGGGGTGATTTAGTGGAATTGAATGGGATAGATCTGGGATGTAATTTGATGGGGATTTGATGGAATTTAAACAATAGGAATGGAAGGTTTTATTATGCTTGATTTGTGATTTGTGATGGTGATTTAATGTGATTTAGTGGGACTTAATGGGGTTTACTAGGATTTGATTGAGATGGCAATAGCATCAACCAAGAAACAGAACATTTGGAACCTGGATGTAATAAGGATATCATGTGGATAACTAACATCCGAAACAGTGTACTGCATTTAATAATGAAACAAATTCACTTGATATCCAATGGGATATATGTTTGGGATATTAATGGACAATGGACATTTGGAATATCTCATGGTAATTTTCTGAAATATACATGAAATGAATAGAAACTAAAGATTAATTTCCCAGAAACCTGGGGTTGAATATGGAGCAAGTTTTTCTCAAAGTTGGGGGCTGTGTTTCAGCAAAAGTATAAGGTGAAGGTTGAAAGATGTTGGGAGCTGAAACAACAACGAAATGTTCATTTTAGACCAACAAGAATTGGATTGACACCAATTTAACAATGGGATTTTAACAGAAACTGTGAGTTCTTTAACCAAAGGACAAAACGGTTCGGTTTTAACCAAGAAAACGTGGATGTTTTCCAGCGTTTGACGTGACCAACAAGAGATCTAATCAGTTAGTAATTCAATGAATGGGTTTCTGTGTAAAAGCCATGTTAAAAGCCTTGTTTTTCACATCATGATTACTTATCATCAGTCAGTTTGGAAATGGATGTCTTGGTCGTGCAAATATATGGTATATCATAGGTTTTCACCCGGATGGATGCTGTGTACTGACTGCACATATCATTTAAGTCACAGACTCTACCAACATCTACCTCAGACATCATCCAAATTTGTTTGTAAATACCATAAAAAGGAAATCCTTCCTTGGTATTGGACTGTGAACCGCAAAGTACCATGGGAACCAGCGCTGACCCTGGATTGATCTACCACTGTCAATGACTCGTGGATTCAGTGCTACCACATGATTGTGCTGTGATAATTATCTAATTATCCTACGATAGCATATTATATGAGAACATGAACTTAAAACCATACTTTTTCCCTACTGGATTCTACTGATTCTTGTAGGTCGACAGGGTGATTTGCCTAAATATGTGCTGGTTGTGTACCTGTTAGACAAGTATCTTGAAGGTTGGCACCTGTGATAAGTATATATTATATCAAAGTTTAAGCTTTTTTTGATGCTTTGATGCTCAAGTCATGTTCAAGATAAGTCAGGATTATATAATTGCTCGTTCTCGACCTGTTAAATCGCATTCTGTAGGTTTTTTCGGCTTTGGTGTTTAGAACTTAAAAGGAAAAAACTACAAAGATTGCAAACACCCAGTCCATTCAGGTTCTTCACTAAAAAAACAGTCAACATTCTTGGTTTGTCTGAAAATATGGTACCCAACAATATCCTGGTTGGTGGTTTGGAACATTTTTATTTTTCCATATATTGGAAATTTCATCATCCCAACTGACGAACTCCATCATTTTTCAAGGGGGTGTTGGATCCAATGGTTGATTTTATTGTCATACCCTCTGGTAAACGTTTACATTTACATAACTATGGAAAGATCCACCATTTTCTAGCTGGGTAAATCCACTATTTCGACTGGGCCATTTTCAATAGCGAACTGTAACAAATTACCAGAGGGTATTCCCCATGAGGAGCTCAGTAGGGATCCCCCATTGTCAGCTCAGGTGACGAAGTCCTTTGCAGAGACCACCTCAGTAGCAGGCGAAGTTCGCGAAGTTCTCGCTGAGTGGGTTTCTTTAAAAAAACGATATAATACGAAAACATAAATTGGTCTATAACTCCAACAACTGTTGGGTTTATCGTAGATGAATATATCATGGTATATCTCTAAAAATCTATACTTAGTTGGGGTTATAGATCAACTTCTGAGGTTATGAATAATGTTTTTTGTCCATAAGAAACGGTTCTATAAATTACCAGGGGGTACCCCATTATTCTCCTTTCTGTGCTTGGGAGTAGGGAATTTCACTCTAGGAACAATATGGGTTATCACATGGTTTGACTCATCGTTAATGTCAGCGAAGTTGTGTTGGTTGGCTTATGTTGCCTCATATGAAATAAACCAAATAAACCCATCTATTGGACCAACTCTAGGCCAGCTTATCTAAGAAGGTCGAGGTTTTCTTTCCTCTCCTCCTGGCTTTGCTTGTCACCATGCTTCTTTGAACGATGTTGCTAGTTGGATTTGTAGCATCAAAACTCGTGTGTGTTTTGTTGAGTGATTTTCACCAATGAAGAATTGTTACCATGATGGGTTTTTATACCGAAAAATGCGATCGAAACTCAAAATTGAACATGACCAAGATGATCTAAAAAATGATTTTAGGGTATGATTCATTAATGATGGATAGCGGAGTTTGGTGTTTTTTGTTCCTGGGGATATTACATGTTGTTTGGTTCGGCTGGTTGGATTTTCAAGAATATGAATATATTTGCTACATGTGAGGTTAACATCGACTGCTTATTCCTTACCCTGTGATTGAGCAACCCTTCAATGAGGGTACAATCACAGATCACCAGATTTTGGGTGGTTTCGATTAAGATTTTTTTGATCTTGATGACTACCATGGATCATACACCCCATTGTTTGTATTGAATCCCCAAGTTTGCTTGGGTAATCCCTCAGAAAAATTGCGAAAGTATCTCCAGTTCTGTTGGTTGAGTCCCAATCTTTCGTTTGTTGAACCGCCATTCTCAACAACTATATCCATTTGTGTGTTGCCCCTGTTGATCTTTATTTGTTGATATCCCCCCTATACCATTATGTTTAGATCCCCATAAGCCATTGACTTCACCCCACCTCCCAAAATTTCCCAGTTGAGTCTCCCAAGTAGCTTTTCAATCTTCAAAAAATCATAAAAATCACTGAACATCACATCAAATCACAATTTGTCCACGTCAGATGTGCCATTGATGTCAACCCATGGTGACATCCACCGCGGCGACCGACCAGGAATGCTGCAGTACGTGGGCCGTGCTGCGCGCCGTGGCTTGACCACACATGGCCAGGCGGAGTCAGCTGGATGGTTTACCCTCTGGTAATTTTAGAATAAACTAATGAGGATGGTTTACCCTCTGGTTTACCCTCTGGTGAGTCAGCTGGATGGTTTACCCTCTGGTTTACCCTCTGGTGATGTATATATATATATAAATAATGAGGAATGATGGAATGATGGGGATTGATGATTTTGATGGTAGATACATGGACAAACAGACTTGGGGATTTACCCTCTGGTAAACCAACAAAAAACGATGGAAAGATCCACCATTTTTAATGGGACAATCAACTATTTCGACTGGGCCATTTTCAATAGCAAACTGTTCAATTTCCAGAGGGTAACAGAACTACTGTGGGGATTTTATATTTTGATGGAGTCGATGGGGATCTGTTCTGGTTGGTGGTTTGGAACATTTTCTATTTTCCATACATATTGAGAATAATAATCTCAACTGACTTTCATATTTTTCAGAGGGGTGGCCCAACCACCAACCAGAGAACTACTGTGGATGGTTGCAAAATCAGCAGTTGATGGTAAACATCCCATGATTTCTAGGGTTGAAATACCATCCTTTTGGTGGTGCAGGATTTCGCAACTCTCCACCGTAGGATGTTGGTTCGATCCATCTATAGATGTCTACAGAAATAAAGGGTTCCTTTCTATGGGGTTTTATCCGGTTTCATCTATATTTTAAAATGGTGATGTTCCATAGTTTTTTGTAGGCTTGACACAGGGTATAGTGGAAAAGGCTATTTAAAATGGATGATTTGAGGGCCCATTTATGGAACCCCCCCATATATCTACCATAAACAAAATCATCTAGTCATGTCCTTGTTACAAGTCAACTTAGCTAAATTCCATATAAATGGGATGAAATAACTCCTGTAACTAAGGTGAGCAATATCATGAAACAGTCATAAGTGGCTATATAAGTGGCTACAGGGCTAGAACTGCAGGTCGGAATAGCTAAGCTGGTGTGCATATAACTCCAATCACTGCTGGCTCTAGATATAGCATGATATAGCTACATTGATTCATCAATAACTTATAAGGGATGACATGGCCAACTCACCCTTATTTTGGCTATTCCATGCTATTCTACAATGAGACCGAGAGTCACTATTTGGAGGATCATAAATTCGTCAGTGGGTACCATCTGGTGATACCCTCTGGTAAACGTTACAAACAACTATGGAAAGATCCACCATTTTCTAGCTGGGTAAATCCACTATTTCTATGACCATTTTCCAGTTCGCAAACTGTTAGTCATTACCAGGCCGGGTATATTCCATTAAGTGGATTATATATAATCCCATTAAACCCCATGGAAAATCCCATGAAACATGGCCATTAAACAATCCCAGGCCGGTGTTAAGTTTTTTGTGGGGAAATCACAGCGCCATTATCGACTGGTTGGTGGTGACTCAAACATGAATTGTATGGGGTTTCATGATGGTTAATGATGCTTAATGATGGTTAATAATCACTGGTTGGTGGTTTCAAACTTCTTTATTTTCCATAATATGAATGGATAATCCTTCCCATTGACGAACTCCATCATTTTTCAAGATGGTTAAAACCACCAACCAGTTATCGAAGTTGGTTTACGTATTACTGAGATCACTGATTCAAAAAAAATATCTACAGTTTTTTTTTTGATCAGTCCCCTGATTTTTTTTGGTTCAAATGGGTTTAGTTCGACCAACTTACCCTCTGGTAAACGTTACTGTAACAGTTCGCTATTGAAAATGGCCCATTTATGGTTGATTTCCCATTAAAAATGGTGATTTTCCATAGTTATGTTAGTTTACCAGAGGGTATATTTCACAAACACAACGGGTAGACTTGGGCAGCTACAGTTGTCAGTTGATACAGCCATGGAAAAAAAAGGATGCCAAGTTGGGTTTATGTGACTCAACTTATGGCTGGAAAAAGGCAGTCAATGTGGGTGACTTATTCATATCAGTCATAAGTGACCCATATCAGATTTTCATATCAGTCAATGTGGAAGATACTCAATTTTGATATCAGTGACTTATTTTTTCCTGTCATATCAAAAATACCCACCCTGTGGGCCAAATGGATAGATTCCATAGACCAGGATTTAAAGGGGTTCCAAGGGGTTCCAAGGGCTTGTTTTTTCATGGGGGAAGGGGTTATAAAAAAAAAAAAACAGTTTTGACTGGTATTAAAATCAGTTTTTCCTGGAAAATCTGAAATTTGCTTGTATCTTTGGTTGGACAATTGTATTTATTTGATTCATTTCAATATTGTTGATACTGGTAACTTCAAATTGGCCTTGCTACTATTTTTCACAATTGTTGAGATGGGGATTTGAAATCATTCATGATCAATGTTTTTCATTGTTGATCAATGGTCAGCGGCCAAACAATAATACATTAATGAAAAACATTGATCATTAATGAACAACTAATATTGCTAATTGATAATCAACCAATTAATATTAATAATCAACCAATTAATATTAATAATAAAGCATTTAATACTAAAATATATGAGTTTTCATGTTTGTTTTGATTCACCCACACATTTTACATATGGGGTATACTTCCAAGTATAACCATTTAACCATTGGGTTTAGGGCTACACTATTTTCAGACAAACCCAAATGGATATAGATATAGATATAATATAATAGTAGTGAGTAATTGTTCTGGTGGCAGATTATATTGATATAGATTTATTCATAATGGTTATCTATCTATCTAATCTAATCTCAATCTAATCTAATCTAAATCTAATCTAATCTATCTATCTACAGTCATTGATCTTCAATCATGATTTTATACACCAAACGCCTCCAGCACCGCACCGTCGGCACGCCAGGCCATCTTCGAGCGCGACGAGGACCTGCAGCGGATTTTTGCCTCGCCCGACGGGCTCAGTACAGAAGCCCTGACCATGGAGCGCTACGCCGCGCCTCGGCCGAATGTTGTGGGATGGTGGGTGGATATTGTTTTGATGGACAGTCGATGGGGATTTTCTTTTTTTTCGGAAGATCATGGATTATTTTTGCGGTTTACCCTCTGGTAAACTAACATAACTATAGAATACTATAGAAAATCACCATTTTCAATGGGTAAATCCACTAAATGGGTAATTCACCATTTATTCGGGACACGGATGGAAAATGAAATGGTGACTTTCGTTGGGACACATGAATTATTTGGGGTATGGATCAAAACCATATACTTCACTTACACGTGCTGTAGGCAAAGTGTTTCACCATACTTATTTTTCTCTAAGTTGGTTTGGCCCATGGAGAGATGTCACAAAAGCAGTGACTAACAAAGACCTGACCAGTAACGATGAGTAACATGTCGAACACCATTCAAGACCAATGAGCATTGTACTGGTCGGTCAAGCACGGGATTCCCAGTTCATTGATTATGATAATACCAAATCTGGTTGGTGGTTTGGAACCATGGAATTTTTATGACTTTCCATATAGTGGGAATGTCATCATCCCAACTGACGAACTCTTTTTTTTCAGAGGGGTGGCTCAACCACCAACCAGCAAATTAATCTTTGATATTACGATGCTATACAATCATCAACAGGGGTTTAGGTTGCACGGCTCAAATGATGAAAATGGCCTGAAAAATATGGAAATATTGTGATCAATGACATTTCCAGGCAGATATATATTCTGATTTCTGTAAGATGGGATATAACTGTTTTTTTGTTCAATAAAACCTGGGATCTTTCAACAGCAAACCTTCGCGACAGGTTGCTGCACGATGGATAAGCCTGCTGTAGATGTCTGAGCCCATCCCAAGTTTATGTTCCTGATTTTGGGAAACAAGCATTTTTGGAGCTCTATATACATGTTCAGGACAAAGTAAACACCATTCATGTTGTGTGCGCGGCTATGTATTTCGAAGCAAGCATCCAACCCAAAGATAGGCATTCAAGGGTTGATGAATTTTCCACACCATCATATTTTAGAAAAATTAGGTTCCATTCTTGACTTCAGAGCCAGGGAACCATTTTTTGTCAGGGTTTTCTGAACACGTTTGGTTGGGATTGAACCTCCAAGCGACCGAGGGCCAGTTCAGGTGCCTTTCTTTTACTCAAAAGGGACGGTCCTATAGCATAGCCATAGAAATTGGGCGTATATCTTCTTATAAATGGGCTAACGCCCTGGTGCCGCCGACCCCCTTTCAAGGTGCAGGAAGGAATGCGCACAGACTGTAGACATATATAATCATATATATATACACATCCTTATGAATGAACGAAGATACGACGACATAAATGAATACATAAAGACGTATAATATATATATATATATTTATAGATATAGATATACACTTAACATGTGGACTCCAATGGCTTATGTGTTTTGGCGGTGTGTCGCTGTGTCTATATGTGTCTATGCACCCAGCTTGGCATTGTGAGGTTCATTCTGACTGACAGCAGCAACGGTGCGGAGGAGAATCCGTTGCGAATCTTGGTGAAGGTGAACTCTGTGCCGAAGGTCAGACTCGAACTCGACCAAATGGTTCGTCTCAAGAACTGTGAGGTTCGCAAAGCTTGGGTTAAGCCGGACAATTCATTGCCGGAGGCGCACTTAGTAACCAATTTGTGTGGTCTGGAGCTGGGGGTCAACCTTCCGACGCCAAAGCGGAAGAGGGGCCAATGTGAGCGGCTGGGCTGGACCATTCAGGGGGGTGGCTAGGTGACACATTTGATTTGGAAGTAGTTAGACTCATCGCACGGGTTATTTGTTGCGGGGGTTGGTGATAGATATGCAAGCGGTTTGCAAGCACATGCAGCTCATTCAAAAACTATGGAGTCTCATCATGTGTGCAATGCATGAATCTAGATCTTAGTCCGAATGGATTGGCTAGAGCAGGATGGCTTCTAGTTGGGGGCAGTGCAGTTGACAGGGGCATGTAGCTGTAAGAGTTGTTGCCTTGGAAAGGCCTGCGGAAGAGTTTGGAGAGTTTGAAGCCGGGCAAACGGCAGTCTTGAACCCCTTGAAAAACAGATGGCAGGGGCATGTAGCTGTAAGAGTTGTTGCCTTGGAGGCCTGTTGCGGCGTTTGGAGAACGGCAGTCTTGAACCCCGTGAAAAACAGATGGCAGGGGCATGTAGCTGTAAGAGTTGTTGCCTTGGAGGCCTGCTGCGGCGTTGAAGCCGGGCAAACGGCAGTCTTGCCTTGGAAAGGCCTGCGGAAGCGTTTAGAGGGTTTGAAGCCGGGCAAACGGCAGTCTTGAACCCCGTGAAAACAGATGGCAGGGGCATGTAGATGGCTGGGGCATGTAGCTGACAGAGTTGTTGCCTTGGAAAGGCGTGTGCCTTTGCTTGCGACCAGAGAGAGTCTTGAACCCCCTGAAAAACAGATGGCAGGGGCATGGCGGCATGGAGCTGGGGCATGTAGCTGACAGAGTTGCTGCCTTGGAAAGGTGTGTGCCTTTGCTTGCGACCAGATAGCGAAGTTCCACACCTCCGGTGGTCCCAGGCGCCGCCCCTGCCTTGGCAAAGGCCGGGGTCGGCGGATATATGGTAGGCTATTGGGAGTTTATATTCTTATTTTTTTAAATAGAAAATGGTAGTTTATCTTGTGAAAAAAATAGTTTACTTCGTGTGATCCCCACCATGACATTTATACATTTTGTTACTCGCAAATCTTCTGGCATTCTACCTGACACATCTTCTGGTATTCTATCTGGCATTCTATCTGGCATATCTTCTGGCATTCTACCTGGCATATCTTCTGGCATTCTACCTGACAAATCTTCTGGCATTCTATCTGGCATATCTTCTGGCATTCTATCTGACATATCTTCTGGCATTCTATCTGGCATTCTATCTGGCATATCTTCTGGCATATATTCTGACATATCTTCTGGCATTCTATCTGGCATACCTTCTGGCATTCTATCTGGCATATCTGCTGGCATTCTATCTGGCCGTTGAGGTCCAGCGGTGCCCACTGAGCTCGGAAGGTCCCAGGTTGAGGTCCAGTGCTGCCCACTGGGCTTGGAAGGTCCCTGGTTGAGGTCCAGCGGTGCCCACTGCGCTCGGAACCTGGCGGTTGAGGTCCAGCCGTGCCCACTCAGATCGGAAGCCGACAGTTGAGGTCCAGCAGTGCCCACTGCGCGCGGAAGTTGGCGAAGAGTTGGCAATGCGGAAGCCAGCAGTTGAGGTCCAGCAGTGCCCACTGCGCGCGGAAGTTGGCGAAGAGATTGGCGACGAGTTGGCAAGGCGGAAATGGACGTGGAAGTTGATGCAGACATGGTCCAGGAGAAACTGGAAGAGGAGGAAGAGGAGGAAGGAGGCGGAGGAGGAGGAGGATGAGGAGAACAGCTCTAATAAAACCTAACAACCCTCACCTGGCAGGTGGGGAAAAAGTATAGACCTCCATAGACATGGTAGATACCTCCACTTTTTCGTCCCTGGAAAGCATGGCCAGGATCTACTGAGTGGATGGTTTTTTTCATGGGTCCTTTGGAAACCTCCATATATAGATAATAGATATATCTATCTATCTATAGTATTTAAAATGGCTAAACTGTATCATATATAGGGTATTTCTGATCTGATGATATGTATATATATATATATACATACATATTATGGGATAGTTAATAGTTATAATTTTCATTACTATTCTATATATCTGGGTAAATTTAATCATAATTCACTAACCTGAATTAATTAAGGCCACAAAAGGGGATGATTTCCCTGAAATAAACCATGATTTCCCGATTTCCCTTATAAAAACCATGGAAAAATGGTGACACATAAATTCCATGGAACGTAGCACAACCTTCCGTACCAAGGAATGGTGGCTCAGCCGCGGCAAGGAGCGTGGAAATCCTGCAGATATGTGAAAACGGTGGTAAACATCCCATTATTCATACAACAGTTGAAAACGGTGGTTTCGGTGGTAAAGTTTCCTAATTTTCAGAGGGTTTCGTTGCATGTTTCAACCATCCTTCGGTGGTAGGAGTTCGCAACCATCCACAGTATTTATGGGGGATAGATTGACATACTAGTGGATGGTTGTGAAATCCTGCGGTAGTTGGTAGCTGTTGGGATTCCTGTGAAACACGGTAAATTATTTGTAAATCGTGGTATTATAGCGGGATAAACCATCTACCAACTGCACCATTTGTTTTTCCATCCACAGTAGTTAGATGAGATTATAAACATTATATATAAACCAACAAAGATAGCATTTGGGGGCCCCACTTTGTAGACATTGGAAAACATGTGGTTTTTGCGAATCGAAATGGCGCCCTTTTTGGGGAATTGCCGTTTAGATTCAGATGGTGCTTGGAAAACAGCCACGGTACCTGAACATAGGCTACCGTTTAACAGGGATATAGCAAGGAAATATATATAATATAATATATAGTACCTGCAGATGACATGGGAGTTGTCGGACATACCTAAAAAACGCAAACTCCCATGTCATCTGCAAAGTGAAAAAACAGAAAAATGCATAAGTCCCGTGTCATCTGTAGAGTGCCTCGGAAAAAAAAATCACATGACATGGGACCTCTGCATCCAAAAAGATGCAAAACATGTCATGTCAACTAACTCACACACTGTACATTTCACATCCCACATGAACAAAGATAGTATATTAGTGTATGACTACCTACTAGCAGTTGGAATAATCCAAAATTATACGTCAGCAGTTAGAATATTCCACAGTCACATGAATCTATTCACCTCCTTGTTCTATTTAGCAACTATTTAGCAGCTATTCAGAAGCTATTTAGCAGCTCTTTAGCATTTATTCAGCGGCTATTTGCCAGCTATTTAGAAGCTGTTTAGCAGCTATTTCGAAGCTATTTAGAAGCCATTGATCAATTATTCAGCAACTATTTGGAAGCAGCAAGCTATTTGGTATTCAGCTATTTTGCTATTTAAGCTATTTAGCAGCTATTTAGCAGAAGTATTCAGCAACTATTTAGCAGCTACTATTTAGCAGCTACTTAGCAGCAATTTAGCAGCTATTTAGCAACTATTTAGTAGTTAGCCAATGTTATTCAACAACTATTTAGCAGCTATTG